TAAATTAATTTTCCTCAAGTTGAGGAAACTCAATGAGTCTGCTCATGATGGTAAATTGTAAGGCATTTCTTTGTCTCAGCCCGTGAGCTTTTTCATCCTATTCTCTCACCCTGCCCTGGTGAGGAGGAACAGTGAATGAACAGTTGAGAGGGTATTAGACACTTTGCCAAGTTTAACTGACCACAATGTAATTTCTTTCTCACAGTGTCATTTTCTTCTCGCATTTCTGGGGAACATGTCTTATGAGGAGCACCTGAGAGAACTGGGATGGTTTAACCTGGAGGAGGCTGAGGCAGGACCTTACTGTGCTCTACAACTACCTGAAGGGAGGTTGTAGTCAGGTGGGCGTTGGCCTCTTCTCCCAAGTAACTAGCGATAGAATGATATGAAATGGGGTTAGGTTACACCAAGGGAGGTTTTGATTTGGTATTGGAGGAAGATTTTCTTTACTGCAGGAGTGGTGGAGTCACCATCCCTGCAGGCATTAAAAAAATGTGTGAACATGGTACTTCAGGATGTGGTTTAGTAGTCTTGGTAGTGTTTGGTTGGTGGTTGGACTTGATGATCTTGGAGGTCTTTTCCAACTTTCATGATTCTGTGATTCTGTCTTCTTCAGAATAATGTAAACGAGAGTACTGTGTTGGTCATGAGCTGATCACTGTGTCAGGTACAAAGCAACTACACTCAGTTGAGTACAGCTGTACCCAAATTTTAAAATCTTATTGTAGAGAATCTTTATCTTTTTTGATAGGTAGATCCTAGTCATGCTCTTTCAATACTCAGGATTGCTTTCACATGTGCACCCAGTGTCTGTTAAAATTTTAGGGAACTAAACTGACAGGTTACAAATTCTTTGTGTTTAGGTAGGACAGTAAGGAAGATGGTAGAAACATTTTGGCTTTAGGATCACAAAATATACATATCAAATTGAAAAGTTAGTACTGCTGCCTTTACTGACTTTATCCTTCCAATACCTTGTTGTTCAGTCTTCCATGACAAAAGTGTTTATTACAAGTTATTAGCACATGATTTGACAGGAAGAATATGTTGGCTATACAATTCTTTTACTATGGTGATCCTTTTGGGTTCATAAAGACTATCATGTGAACCCTTTACTCCTGCTTATATGCATTCCCAGGATACAAAAACCAAATAAGTATGGAATCAGATCGAATCAAAATGACACTGCTTTGATTACTTTCTATTCTAAAAAGCCAACAATTTTGAAAGGAGAAATAATTAGAAAAGTGTTAAAACAAAGGGCATGGGACAAAGAAATTTGCCACTAGTGTGAGAATTAGGATGTGTGGCCACATGACTATATGCTTCCACCTATGTTTGGTTTCGCAGAATGCAATGAGATATGCCTACAATCACAGGGAGTAATAGAAAAAACTCTGTGGGATAGATGATGCAGTGGTTAAAAGCTCTGTTAAATGTGCATGTGTGGATAATTTTTCATGATATCATTAAGTGTTTACTTAGAGGCAACTGTAACACTCATAGTCCAGTCTCTGGAAAGTGGTACAACTGAGTGCCATTTTGTGTAAAGACTTGAGTCTGTGGGTTGGTCTTCCCCTAGCTCTTTATAGGTCTTAAACCTTGTAACTTTGTGAGCTGTATGTGTTTTCCATTACCTAATTAAATTTCCATCCACATGTCTGCTAATTCATTCAGTAACACAGTGCTTGAGGTTTTTTTATATCTAAACTTTCCCATTGTATGATGCATAGGAGTTGTAATGGCCTTTTATTGATATACATTTGATAGCCTTCTTCTAAATCTGTAATGTCAAGGTATTAAAAGGGATAAGTTAACTTGAAGTACAGATAAAGTCATGGCTGAACCATAGGGAATCGAGAATCTTCCATTTTTCCTCTCCAGAAAACCCCACATCTATCTTGTCAGTCACTATTTCAGCTTCAGCAATGTTTCTGCCTCTTCTGCTGGTAAAACCCATTAAGATTTCTGCCCATTTTCTGTCCTGTATCCTAGCAGTCATTCATCTAATACGTGTGTACAAAAAAGTTCTTCAAGATATTTCAGTAAAAATTCTGACTTTCCTTTTTGTTTGTTTTGTTTTGTTTTCCTTTTGTTTCTTAACTTTTTTTGAGACTCCATTGAACACAAAACTGTTGAATTGAAGAACATGACTATTTTCAGTTTCATGCCATGGTATCTTTCATGGTGCAGATGGGTAACAGAAGATTGTTTGGAAAGAGACATCTTTTATTTTTCAGCTTCCTGTACCTCTTAAGAGTTAGTGTGTTCCATCCGCTTCTCAGCTATTTCTTTATATTAAGTCTGCTCTTGCAGATTTTCCTATGTCTTGATACTACAAAGCCTGTTTATTTCTGGTTTTCTGCTATTTGTCTTAATCATTTGTAAACGTGTTTTAAATCCTTTGAAAAATCTTCTCTTGTTACCCTTTACTGACTTGGATTAACATTCTTTGCCCATAAAAATGGACTCTTTCATGTTCCTAAACATTTAAGAAATGTTTTAAACATTATAATTTGAGTATGTATTTAATGTCAATATGTCTACTGTTACCATATAATTTGAGACCTGAATTAAAAACTAAATGCTTAAACCTGTCAGTAGCAGCAGCAAAGTTTGCAGTTGTGATAAGGGTATTATAGATGCCATCATCCAAATTGCAGCAGCTATGGGCAATCAAATTACAGGATATTTTACTACACAATCTCTTAGTCTTGGCAGGAGAATTAAACTATTTGCCTTCTTAGCAAAGGTTGCCTTCAAACTACTTATGTGCAGCTGTAAAGCCCAAACCCAGATCCTGTTCTCCACACACCTCTAGTATGATCTCTAAACAGATCGAAACCTGTTTGAACAATAGTATGTTTCTTAGTGCATATCACAAATCCTACCTGTTCTCGCACAGAATTATTTCCATGTCCATGAATAGTTAGAAATTTTCTCTATTTTTTCCCACACTTTGGTCCTGTGAAAAGAACTCACAGTGCAATCCCAGATAGCTGTACGTGAAGTCTGTGTATGTGTGTATAAACTGTTGTGTACCCATTATATCTGATCACATTCAATTACGACAGCAAGACTATGAATTTTACATCTTTTTTTGTATTTGTTCTCTTTTCTCCCTTCCTCCATAGAGTCTTTCTACCTAGTTAAACATAGCAGTGTGATGTTGATTGGTCCACTTCTTTTCCTTTTTGTCCTTCTCTTTGGTGATAAATGCAGTGCTTGGACCTTGTATTCTTGGTTTTAAAGAAATCATGTATTTTCCACATCTTCTGAATGCAAAAATAAAGTTTAACTAGGAAATGTTTCTTGAAAAATAATGCATTCTAGACTTCCAGGAAAAAGTAGTATGCATGTGCAATGATTAGGAAATGTGGAAGACAGGAGTTTTATTTAGGATCTTGGTATTATTCAAGAACTTTGAAAATTTTGATATGTTGGTCTTGATTTTTTTTTTAAATATATGAAAGGGATCAGTTTGTTTTTGTGCAAATTGTTTTGTCATCACTTTGGTTTTGTGACTAAAATCTTTATTGGTTAATACCATCATATATTAACCAAAGTAAACTTTTGGTGATCTCTACCAGAATTGCAAGAAAAAATGCAAATCTATAACCTTACTATTTTGAAGAGAGACGCTCTTTATTCAGTGCAACGTTATGCTGACAATATAAATTCATAAATTTGGAAATATTAATTTCAATTTTCATTAAAATTTTCTTCTAGTTTCTTCTGCTATATATGGGAAAACAGGAATATACAAAATATGTCCCTTTGACATTGGGATTTTAAATGTACTAAAATCCGTCCCAGATGTTACTTTTGGTGAGGCTCGTGGAGGTCATTTGTTTCTTTGTTTCATTCAGGCACACTTTAGAAGAAGAAGAAACCCAAATGTGTAAAGCACTTTTCCCATATTTAAATTCTTAAATGTGTGATAGTAGTATTATCTTCTGATTTTTTTTTCCTCATTTTTGGAAACCTGTATGATTTAAAGTTGAAGTGTGATAGACAGTGTGTTGTAAACATTTAATAATGGAAGGTAATGGTCAAAAAAAAAAAGCCAATTGCTAGTTAAGATTCTCTTTGATAAATGGGATAGTGGAAGTGTTGAAATACATAGTATTCAAGAAGAACGTATCCTGAATTCCTTTTGTTGTAAATCAGTTATTTTACAGTGAAAATGGCAGCATGCAACAACAATAATCCAAATTAATCTTAAATTTTTGTTTGACTTAATGTATTTATGTCATAGCATTTTACTTTATCAGTATTGTGTGTGTTAGTATTTCTCTGTCCTTACCCAAAGTTATTCAGAAAATCAGAAAGTCTAATTTGATGAGGTCTTTCTTTCTTTGCCATAAGGACATATGACATAGAATGAACAAGAAAGCTGCCCAGTTTAAGTGTTACTTTCCCATATTCTTTCTCCAGATTGCTATATGAAGCTGTACATAATATAAACACATATTCTTGTCTCTAGTTAGTCACATTATAGTTAATGACCATATGGTCATTATGGTATAAGATCTACTGTCTGTTGTATTTATATTCCTCAAGCATATTGTTCCTTCAACTTCACAGTGTGTTAAACTATTTCAAAGGGAAAAAAATCCTTTCCCTCTTGTTTCTGGTTGTCCTATCAAGTGTAACCTTGGACCCTTATAGAGCAATTAGACCAGCCTCTATCCCCTCCTTTGTAATGAGGTTTCTTGCATTTCTGAGTCTATAACCCTTTAGTCTTCCCTAATGGGACATCATTATTCTGAAAGAAACAATGTAAATGTAAATGAATATTCTCATTAACGAGTCACAGAGAAACCTTTAGTGGTAGCGCTGTGGTAATTCTGCTTGTTATTTCTCTGGTATTCCATGCAGATTTTTTTTTTTTTTATAATTCATTATTAGTATTCAAAATTACTACTTCTTTAATTCTGCATGTCTTTCACAATACGATGTTCCAACTAGTTCAACCATGTCCTTGTTTTATTCTCCAGGAACCACCTGTGAAACGTTCAAGGTCTCTGTCCCCAAAGAGCTCTTTTAGAGAGTCAGAGGAGCTAAGGAAGCTTAAAATAGCTGAAAGGAAGATTGAAAACTTAGAGAAGACACTACAGCTAAAGGTGAACATTAAAAAAGTAAAAATAAAGAAACTCTTTAGCTATAAGCTTGCACAGATAAAGATGTACCAAAATAAACACATTTTAAAAATGCAAAATGCACATATTGTTATGGACTGTAAATGTGTTAGCATAAGAGAGCACTGTTTGCCTTTTTTTCCTTTACTGCTGGAAATATGGTGTTGGTACTCCTGCAGTCCTGTGGAAGTCCAATTCAAGGTGTCATCAATAATACATGCTTGTTAAATACATTTTCAAAATCTGTGTCTGAGGATATATAATCTGAGAAATTTATATACTTGTATAGAATAAAGTGAAGCAGAAAGTACAAAGAGGTTGTTTTTTTTTTTTAATATGGTGAAGCCAGTATTTTAAAATACTGAAGTCCATTAATTGGAACAGATTTACCCCTTGTAGTCTTAGAAGTTACGGCTCAGAAGTTGCTTCTCTAACAAATGCTATAACAAAAAAACAAACAAACAAACAAACATCCCCTGCCCCAGCCCTTGGTAGAAAAGTTTAACTGAGCATGTATTACAATTTCCCATTTTCTCCCTGTTTTGTAGATTTTTATTGATTTGATTTTTTACTAAAAATAGTACCTTTTGAGTACCTATTGGTTTCAAATTGCACCTCAGAATGTAAAACCCAAAGCTTGAGTCATATTTTCTTAAACATTTACAATTTATGCTTTCTTTCTTGTTTATTGTTTATTATAAGGCAGAACTGATTATATTGAACATACTGTGATAAATGTCAGATAAGTGGAAAAAATTTGGGACCCCTACAAACCTTAATCCTCAGCTCCTGCCTTACGCAAAAAGACACTCGTATATAATAATTCAATTTTAGAAAAAATGAGTGGGAATTCTATTTTAGGACAAATGCAAATTATATATACACCGTGTATACTTGAGAGAGTTTAATGTAGTGTCTTGACACACCTAGAGTGTATGAACAGGAAAGATGGTTTAGACTTCAAATTCTTTCTTGACAGGCTGTCTTATCCCTTATTCCTGAGAGTCACAAGATTAATTTTGGTTTGTGTTTTTCTATTGAGAAAACTAAGGCATATCCTACCAGCTCTACCTGGGAACTGGCCTTTGTCAGTTCTTCTGTTTGTTACTCATAGTTGGCCTGCCAGATGTTGGTGCTACAGATTACTCTGGCACCGTGGACTACTGCTCCACCCTTGGCAGCAAAGCTGACACATCAGTGTGTATGGTTTGTTGTCTTAAATGATAGACATTTCTTTGTGTTTTCTTCTGGGAAGAGGAGTAAAAAGAAGTACTCTAATTTCCAAGCACGTACAGAAGAGATAGGACTCTTTCTCTTTGCATGACCTCATAACATAATTTTTACCATTCACCATATTGCCTTTGTAATTTCTTCTGTTTCATATTAAAGTATAGTTTAGGAATCTGTGCAGCTTTATTATGTTGCAGGCATGGGATCTCTATTTATCACAGCTGTTAATCCGTGAGGTCTTTAAGGGCTAATTCTTGTATCCCCCCTCGAAACTGAATATGTATAGTTTACATATATACCTGCATTTTCTCTAAGAAACTTATTTGGCTTCTTCTGCAGAGTGCTTTAGTTGAAGAGAAGCTGTAGAGGCCCAGGTCAACATAATAAACACTGTTGTGGCACTACATTCAGAATTCAATGAGGCTATTGCCAGCATGACAGTGAACTCAGCTCTCATAACATTAACATCACAGTAATTCTGTTGGCATGGTATGATTTCTTGATATTAGCCTACTCTCACGAATTGTTTCCAACAAAGGGTAATGCATGTGATCAATGTTTTCAAAACTGGCACTTGAGTTATTGCCTCTTCAAGCAAAGTGTTGACTGTATGATTACTTGAAATACACTTGCTTTGAAAAAAGCTTGCTGTATGAATAAACATACTGATGATGCATATCCTGAAGATGAAATTTTGACTTTATCCATCAACCCTTCTGAAAAATTGGTAAAATTTTTTTTTTAAAAATTTATGAACAGCTTTATTTATGGGTTTTTCAGAAACAGGAATATTTGATGCCCCGGTTAGTTCTACACAGGAACAGAAAATGAGAAGGTCCCATTCAGAGGATTTTCCAGTTCTCTTCAGCTGACTCATTTCTAGCAAGGGAAAGTTGGCTCTTACTGTCCTTATTGATAATATAAATAGAGTAATCATGTAAATTCAGAGTGTCCATAGTTTTGGTACAAAATCTGCTTCATTTCTGCACTGCAGGACATACAAAAAAATTGCATAGCATCCCTGATTGCACCCTTGTTTAGGGACTGTCAAAGTAAATAAGAGTATTTAATTTATTTTGAATAACAAATTATCAAGCTGGTGGTTAGAATGGTCTGAAGCATAGGTACATCAATCTACTGTTGGACTTTAAGAAGTGAGTACAAATTCACTTGCTGAGAATTAGATATTTCATATGAACTAGGGGTAGGTTCTCTTCTCCTACATTATGTTTCTAGAACTCTGACCCCAGGCGTAGCCTAGAGGAGATAGTTCTGGCTTTAACTGTGTGGGGTTTTTTTGTTGTTGTTGTTTTGTTTGGTTGGTTGTTTTTTTTTAAGTTTTAAAAAAAAACTTTACAAGAAAAAAGGTGTCTTTCAAAAGCAACATGACATCTTCCTTTTGATTTTTCTCATCATTTTGTTTAAAGTTCTAAAATTTTAGAGAGAATTAGAGCTAGAATATATAGATCAGTCTTTAGGACCACCTTAATACTTGTTTATGTGAGTGAGGGAACACTTTTGGCTTTTCCACATAACTACTTGTGGAACAGAACTACATAACTACATTCCACATAACTACAATATGTTGTAATTTTCAGATACCCCACTTCAGCGTAAGAAGAATAGTTAAATTATTGAATCAGTATATTTTTTAAAATTGAATTTTAGTTCATATTTTACTGTAACAGAAGTTTGTATAGGTTAGTTCCAACGAAGTTTTGAAGTACTTACTAGAATCTGACCTGCTGGCGAGTATGAAGATGACATTTTCACGGGCAGTTAGGTTCTTCCTTGTGCAGATTGGACTTTGTCTTTTTGTCTCTCATTACTGCACGAGAAGTGCTATAGAATGGCAGTGGAGAGGCAGAGGATAACCTGTAGATACAGCACTGCTAGAGATGGTTGTTCTGTCCCATTTCTGTCAATATATAGAAAACTCTACACAAGACAGTTTAATTATTAAAAAATATAATGTAATTCAGTCAGAGAGGTGGAACTAACAGACTATGAAAATTAAATGTAAATTTAAAGTTCTGAAGTGCTTAATTCAATAAGAGAGTGATTAGAACTGTTAATTGTTTAATTTCTATTAGACGATTCTCGGAAATTTCTGTTAGAGAGTAGAGCAACTGATGAGGGAAGGGAATAACAGTAGTGGAATAGATAGTGGAACAGGTAAGCAATAAGGAAAGATTTAGATTCATAACTAGGGAAGGCCAAATTCTACACTCAGTTACATTACTGAAAGGGCACTGACACTAATAAGCTTCTGAAGACCTAAGCTGAAGACATTATTTTCCAGTACCTTGCCAGACCTGATCAGTTTTCACTAGCAGGATCAAACAATCTCAGAGCAATGATTTCATGAACTTTCCTTGAAAGCACAGCATCTATAGTTGGATTCCTAGGAAAATTTCCTGTTGCATCGAGCAAAGCTTGGTAATAGTCTCTATGTCTTTTGTCACAATTTATCTTGCTATTTGTGTAATTGTTTATACTATCATTGTAATATTTATCTAAGCCACCTAAAATCAGTCCATAGTACTTTTTAAGCAATTCTAAATTTATAAATGTATCTGCCTTAGAGGTTGTTTCAGAAAAGATACCTGACATGTCTTTGGGGAAGTATTTCATGGTACTTTGCTACCTGCTTCTATTCCTAAATCTAGTTTTTGTGTTGCTTGAGTCACTTCCAGAAAACTTCTGGAATTTTGTGTATAGTAGTGCCTGAAATTTTAGCTGGTATCTTTCAGCTTTCTTTGTGTGTCATGAAAGCTGGGCTACATTTTAGAAGCCGGGCTTAGTCTAGGTACTTTGTAGCTAGCACTACTGTAGAAACCTTTGCCATGTTTTTATAGTGGGATTTAATTTTTATTGCTTGCAGCTCTTACCATTAGTGTATCTTATTTATTGAGTAATGCTGAAAAGACCTCTTTGAATATAAGCAGTAAATAAATCACAATATTTTATTTCCATGTACTTAGAGACTAAGGAACATATTCTGTAGTTGCTCTACAAGCAGAAATCCCATTGAACTGGAAATGAAGCACTAAGGGCAAAATTTTCTACAAGAGATAATGTCTGATTAATTCTTTACTGCTATATGCTGGAAATTTTACTTGCTTCCATACTGTGGAATGTCCTCTTCTTAATGTTAATTTTTTTTAGAGCACAGTATTGTCACTTAGGAAAATCTGGTTCTAAACTTTCATGACATTATCCTATATTTTTCATTCGTTAACAAGGGAGTATGTTTTTTTTACACATAGTTTTGATTATATAAAAGCAATTGCAAAATTTATTATTTCTTACTTGTTACAAAGTCTGTGTTTTGCAGGTTTAATTATTGTTACAGAAATAAACTAATAAGTGAGAAAACCCTGAAGCCATTTAGATTTAATTTTTTTTGATGTGGACTTCAGTGTGGCCACTGTTTATCTTCAAAATACATAGATTATTTTTCCATGAAAAAAAAAATAAGAAAAGAAAAAAAATCATTTGGACAAAAAGACGGTGACAACAATCTTTTTTCAGTCGATGTATTTTTAGGTGTATTAGACCAATGCAGTCAAAGGATGAGAACTGATGTTTTGGTTGTAAATTTTGTAAAACTTCTCAGCAGCATGGGAAAAAATATTTACATTTTGCCAGGTTAGCAAAATTTGCCAAAGTAGCAATAAGAAACATTTGAGCTCAGGGACTGTGATTCCTGATCTTTCTATTTAGATTTCTGAGGCTCTTTACTGTTATTTAAACATAACTTTTGTTTCATGGGATGTGTGACAGTCTCTTACATTTTGCCCAATTTAATTTTGGTTTTCTGGTGCTACACAGACTCGAGAAACCGATGAGCTAAGAGCAGCCCATGAAAAACACAAAGAGAGGCTGCAGATGTTACAGACCAACTACAGAGCACTAAAAGAGCAATTAAAGCAGTGGAAGGAGGACGATAGCAGGTAAGTTACATAGCTCATTAAAAACATTTCCCTTATACAAGAATTCTGAACAGAAGTATTACATAGGTATTCAAAAGAGAATTTCATTTGAAGGAAGAAGCTACTATGTGGTGATCCAGACTTCCTCCTTTGTTAAAGCAGAGGACATAGCATACCCTTATATGAGAAAAATTACAGCTGAAACCAAGAGTAAAATTTATTGAGCCATGACTTATTTTATTTAGGATCTCATTGTGAGCCCAAGTGCTGGACAAAGGTCTGCTAGGGCTGCTTATTTATGCTTGTCTAATTCCCCAGTCTATTAATTTGTTGACTGTGTATGTTTTTAATTTTCTATAATAGAACAATCGCTCCCTATGTTTCAAATATTTTGTAAAAATAATTTTATTCATTAAAATTACAGAAATAACAATGGAACAGTTAGAAATTCAAGCATTAACTTAAGCTAATCCTAAAATCAACCTCTTAATAGTGAAAAAAAGTGTGTGCTTGAAAAGCGGGATGTTTTCATCTGTTAAATGATTACAAAATCAATTATTTCTGATCATTCTACAAATATATTGTGGTAATATATCTTTATTAATGGAAGGAAGAAAGACATCAAAATTTAAATCGTGACTATTCTATATATAATTGTCCCTTATATTCTGTACAGAAGAGTGAATATTTCATTCAGAAATTCTTGGGTTTTTTGAGGTCCTTAGCAGAGAATCAGAATTTTTTTGTAAACACATTTGGAGGTATGAAGACATTTCTTAGCACTTTGCCATGCAGTTGTCAGACATTGATCAGTTACAGTTTTTCAGGCCCTTTCTTGAGAAGGTCATTTGAACAGGTCCTTGAATCCTTGTGGCTTTAGTAGGATTTCAACATGCACTTACAATTTACTAAACACATATGTATTTTACTAAACCAATTCTTTTTGTAATTAGAACAATACTGACTAACATTGACATAAACTTTGTAACTCTCTCTGACCGAAAACAGAATAACAGAAATTGCTGCAAAGCTGGTAGATGTTCAGAGGGTCTAGGGTGGTGTAAAGCATCCTACTGTGAATGATAAACTGTCCCTAATATATAAGCAATGCTTTAGCCTCTATGAGGCAATTGCATTGCTTTGCAATACTACGGTGTTTACTTAAAATAATGGTAAGGTACAAATCTGCTAGAGGCATTGGCAGCACAAGAAGATTTTTTGAAATATCAAAGCATAAATGTTCAATAGATTTTTAAAAATTAGAATGAAAAGGTTTTATTTATCTAGGAAAAACACAATATTTTATCTTCTAGCTCACTGTTTTAAATTCAGGGCAAGCTAGAAATGACTGAAACCTACTAGATGATAGTTATGTTATGCAATGAAATGATTTAATTCTGTGTCTAAAGCTAAGTAGGCATTCGTGGTCCACTGAGAGGCCAAGCCTGAAAAGATAGATAAATTCAACCTAGATAAAGACAGTAAAATCAAACTTGATATGCAATGAAGCACTGAGTGTTCTGGGTCTGATGGTTTAAAAAAAAAAAAAATTAAGACAAGGAAGGGGAGAGACAGACAAAAGCAACTTCTGTTTCTGTTTGAAATAAATGAGACCAGCTTATGTCCTGACAGGAATGTATTTGGGAAAAGCAGATATTGGGGAAAATGTAATACTAAATCTTTCTTCACTCATCTGATTTTTTTTTTCATCTATAATTAAGATGAGCTGAAAATTATAGCGTTTGCTCATTTTTGTTATCAGCACAAAATTGGATGAAGTCATCATACTAAAAGAGGTTTGGTTTTCCTTTTTATTATGCTTAAACAAAAGAAAGAAGCCAAGACACAAATAAAAACAGTCTGTAAACAGTTATAGCTTATATTGTTATTTTGATATCTCAAAAAGCTTTATATCACTGGGGTGATGTAAATTGTGCATTAAGAACTCAGTATCAGGTACTTATGTGGCACTTCTGATCCTCTGTAAGTGATGGAGGACCCCGTTCTTTCTGATTCTTCGTAGATTAGAATCTTTTACCGAGATGGCAGCTGATGGGACCTAATCCACCTGTCAGTGTACATACAACTTCCACTGACATACGTGACTGCAAAGATGATGGGGGCCTTGTGAGGTTACCATGTTCTCTGAGAGTTTATTTCTGCACCCAGTAGGAATTTAGATTGCAGAGTTTTAAATTAATTTTATAAAGGATTTTAAAAATGCAGTTTTTATCTTTTGCATTCTTAAAACATGTAAACATATTTTAATGGCAGAAAAACCATGACTTTTTTGAAATTCAGTATGCTTTTTCCTGGTGCATCATCTTATCTATAGGTGGTTTATTCTTTCTTTAGACTGCAGACCAACAGTTTGATTTAGACGGGGTGTTAGTGGAACTTCCAGATTGGTTTGCAGGGGCATTAGGGGAGATAGTGGCTCTCCCATTTTTTTGTGATAGATTGTGTAAGAGTTTCACCTTCTGCTTTCTCATATTGATATTGTAAGAAATGTTGACGGAGTGAATGTGAGTGACACCACACTGCTACATGTCAATTGAGAGCCGTGGTATGATATGTGTCTGAAACTGCATAATTGAACTTTTCTATAATATCACAGTTAAGGTTTTATGCCTCACAGAATCTACACATAATACAAGGTTTGTGTTTAGTAGATGCTATAGAGTAAAATTAATATTTGCTGAAAGCAAGAATGCTTTTATTGTTGTGTTCCTAAAACATATAGATACTTACAAACAGCCAACCTCTCTTTACTCATAAACAGGTTTGAGAGTTGTGAAAGTGGATACCAGCCTGCAGACCCCCAGCAGCCTTGTCAAGAGGATTCTGACGCTGTGTGGAATGAACTGGCATTTTTGAAAAGGGAACACAAAAAGCTGTTGATTGAAAAGTGAGTTCATTTCTTAAATGGTGTTTATATAAAGAAACGTGCTACTGTTTTTTCTGAAGGTAGTGCTTTGCAGGCCACATGAGAGGAGTTCATTGCAAAATTTCAAGATAAAACCGTCTTCTACCAAACACAGAAAAGGAAAACATCAGCTCTTTTTTTCCTTTTTTTTTTTTCCTTTTAAATCAGTGACAAGTTACAAGTTTGCTAGCACTAACAGAAACTGTATTCCATGATCTAGGGATTGTGTTAATTAATGTGGCTCTCATCTGTTGGAGGTGTCGCTCTTCATTAGCCTGTATTTTACACACTGCCGTGCTTCATTTTTGGAATGAGGTGGTGAGGGGATAACCTAGCCAGCCATCCTTGTTTGATCTCTGTGATACATACGCAATGCAGAATGCCTCAGCTCTCTTGGTTCCCTGCCCTGTCCTGCTAATCCCAGCTGAGCTCATTATGGTGTAGCCTTGCTGCTACTCCTGGAGCCAGAGCTGTCCAAGCTAATTACTGGTAGCAGCAGAGCTGCCTGTTAAGGGTCTGGTGTGGATCTGCTAACATGGTCCTTGGTAGTGACCTGCAAAAAGCACGAGGGAGTTGCTCTCTTTCTTGCTGTGCACAGCCTGTCCTTTGGGTTTAGTGCTGATCCTTTCACACAGCTCTTTTAGCTGTAGTAAGTGTAAAACTTGGTGAAGGAAACTCTTACTTTAGAAAACATACAGTTTGCTGCTTTGATCTCATAATTCATAGGCTATTATACTCAGCCAGGCAAAGTAAGAAAACGTCCTTTTATACTTGACAAAAGGAAGTTAGTATGGTATAATTAGCCCTTTGCTGCTATTTAACACTTTCTCTAAGTCAAGTTGATTTTTTTTTTTAATTTAAGAATCAAGATAACATAGAAACTTTTATTCAGTTTTCGTTTTTTTCAGCTTTAAGAAAATATGTTTTCCCAGTGGGTCACAATGTAAAGCAATTTTGTGGAGATACCATGAAGGCTACTGTCACAGAATTTCAATAGCAGCAAAGTGTTTTGTAGAGTGTAAGTCCTTGTGTTTCCCATAACCTGCTTTAGCATATTACATGCAATAGTGGCAGTAGCTGTGTTGCATGGGGTATTCTTATATCCACCAGTTACAGCTGTGTTCTTGCCACTTCATTGTCATGTTTTTGCTTGCTGTTTTGAAACTATTGCAACAAATATAATCACATGTACTACTTCTGTTTATTTTGATTTTTATGTAGGAGGGAGCACTTTCTTGCCATAGATGTAATTGCAGTTGTAATTCTCCTTCCATCACAAATCAACACAGCATCACAGGCAACAGAAACTCAGGAGTAGTAGCACTCCTCCTCTCATTCTCACACAAAGCCATGAAAGAAAGATTGCTTATGTATTGTATCCTGAAGGCTGGTGCAGCTGGACTGTTCTTCTAGAGCTCCTCTGCTGTCATATTTATGGGGAATACCCTTATGTCTGATACACTGCAGATCACTGGCCTTGACTAGTCTGTGATGAAGTGTTAGGAGCAAACAGTTGAACTGTTTGAAATACAAAGTTTTTAAGTCAGAATGAGTTCTTAAAATTCTGCAGAGTACTTAATAAGGAGCCAGTGTACCATTGCGATCATTAAGGTGAATTCCTTGTGTGGGTTTGGGTGCTTTTTACTACCTGTTGGCAGTGCAGCTTATTGTTGGTTGAAGTTCAGAAGGAATGAATACATAACTCCTGTGGTTTTTATATCTGTCTTCAATGCCTATGTCCAACAATGACTGTCTTTAAATTGTTGCAGCAAGTCAGCATTTCAAGATCTGAGCTAATTTTCTTAAAGAAAATGAATTCTAAATTTAGTGTACTTTCTAGATCTGTCAACTGGCTTCTTTATATTGCAAGTGTTCTTTGTTAAGCTTTGGGGAAAACGGACGTGATCTACAGAGGACATGTGTAAGCCAAATCCAGTTGCTTAAAGAAAAGTGTCTGTGTAGGGATTGTATATTTTTGTATGCCTGTTTTAACTTTAAATATGTGTAATTTCTGTCTCTGACTAAGCCAGAGAGTGAATGTCAGGAAAACGGAATTAATTGTTGTTTGTCTGTTCCTTATACTTCTAAAGAAGATTTTCCCTCCCCCTCCAGGGTAAACTGTGATGTAAATGTCTTTAACTTGCACATATATTGCTTTGAAAATAGATGGATAAAAAGGAAATAAAACCAAGGAAAGCCCATTGATGCATGTCCCAGGCTCCAAAATGCAGTCATTACCAACATTATCTCACTGTAAGCCATCAGTTCTCAAGTTAGGGAATGTGTTTTTAAGTCAGAAAAAAAAGAATTTGCATAGGAAGTCATTGGTTCTGGCGGTGTTGAAGTTGGTGGAAAGACTGTGTCAGCCATTACTTTCAAAAGTAGAAACTTTTAAAAGAAGAAAGTTTTATTCTCATCATAGAGAGGGATTGCATTGACTTGTAAACTGTTAAACACCGTGCGTCTTTCAAGCTGGATGCTAACGGACAACCAAGTGTAGGATTTAAGACTTTATAAATATAGACACCTCTTTTTAACAATACAGGAATTTTTCTGCTTTCATCAAGTTCAGAATGCCTGATGTAATTTTTTTTTTTTAAATATTGATGCAGAATGTGTGGCGTTGTTACTGCCATTTTTTAACTTTTTGATTAGTAAAGAATAGTGTGTGCATGATGTATTACTTTGCAATTAATAATGAAATGTTTCAGAGCCGTGAGCTGCATACTCTCCATGATTAATGATGTATAAATTTCAGCCATTTATGCATAAAAAAGAAAGTGTGTTTATATTGTTGCAATCACATAATAGATTAGTATAATATAATCATCAGTAAACTATGATTATTCAGTGTGTCCTGAGTGCTTTCTGCATATATCTCTCTTGAATTTCCTAACATTCCTCTGAAAGAAGATGATTTTCTTGCTATTAATATGTTTTATCTTTATACTAAGTGCCTTACCAAATAATTATTCTCTGACTTCATAGAAACTGTTTTTAGTAATAGTTTTACCTGACTTCTTTATTAAGCTTCCTCTCTCACTACTCTTTGACAAAGTATATCAGATTATATTCTACCATGTGATGTGGATTGAAAGCTGCATTTTTCATTTTCTGTGTTGTAAAATCTCAATTTTAAAATTCTTTATTATTAAAACAAAATTGAAAAGTCTAAAATTTAAGTTCAGTTTGAGATTTGAACCAGTAGTTAAGAAAATAGTCTAGCTTTTAAGCCCTCACAACTCATTGTCTTAAGAAATTCTGTAACAGCTACGAGTTAAACTTATGCCAAAAACTGAAGAGTTGCAAACAGGAGCAGAATGAGATAGCTGAAGTAAATTCCCTAAGTATTCTTTCAAATGTTTATTAATGTTGATGGCCAAATGAAAACAATTGCACAGCTCTACTAGGATATCCCTATAGAGATATAAACATAAACACATAGATATGTATATAGTCCTCAAGTTTTTAGATAGATTATTTTTAATCTTGGCTATTAAGTGCTAAATGTTTTCTTCTTTTATGTAGAATTGCATTGAGAGATAGGTCCTTGTCATTTTGTTCCCACGTTAGATTCATCTTTGTATCTAGATTACTTGGATTTTGCTGAAATTCAGGGTAAATTGCTGTGTAGCATGTCCAATTGAACTGCTACTTTATTGCGAGCTAGCTAATTTGAACTAATTTGACATTTCCATATTAAATTATCTTTCGCGGGAGTATAGGGATACACCAATCCTTTGGCCTTCAGGTACAAACTTTGGAAAGGTATAGTTGACTATATATAAGCTATTGTGGAAGGTTTACAGTTTTATATCTTTTGTTCTGGATTATTTCTTAGGAGATATTGTAAACAATCTCAGCAACACTGAGTTATATGACCTTGTACATCATCTTCAGAGCTAACTGGAAATTGATTCTCCTTGGCCATGTGCAGCTAGTGGTAAGGAGGAAATGTTTATAAAGTGTATAGTGTAGAAAGTGTAGAGGAAATGTATATACATTTTTTATAAAGAAAGAGATAGCCACATCATTCGAAGAACTTTTGGTAGTCATGCTTTCCTCGGAGTGCCTGGGTATCTGTGCATGTCCTCCTTGTAGGAAAGGTGTTCTGGATCTTTGAAGCGTGTAGAATCACTGCAAGATTGGTCACATCCTTACTCTGCTATAGCAGCTATTTAATAAAGGTTTTTCATAAACTTTTTCTTTTTTAGGAAAACAAGACCTCATGATTTCTGTTTTCCTCATTCTTCATAGAGTCAAAGCAGGTGTTCTATACCCTACCTAGTGCTATCTCACCAGCCAGCTGGCAGGATTCTAACCTGACACCAGTAACAGCATGTGATGCCTCTAGCCTTTTCTAGCTATCAGAATGAGTAGGGTGGAGGAAAGCTAAATTTACTGTTCTGGAATGGTGTCAGGAAGAAAGACAAACCTAGGCTTTGTTAGTTTCTCTGCTTTTTGAACGTGCCTTTTTAAAATTCTGTTTTATTTTTTTTCTAGGAACCTGCTGAAAAAATGCAGGTTTGATCACCTTGACAGTCTCTTTGGCTAGACAGGAAATACCTAGTCATTGGAGACTTTGTTTTTAAACTTCCACTGTTGTGTGACATCCAAATAATGCAATTTTTGTTTTTTCTTTGTTTCAATTGATAGCTGCATTGTGTACCAAATTAATTTGGAACAAGGTGCATTCACACTACATCACTGTTAAAATATGTCACCTACAGACTATAGCCTTTTTGACATATGTACTGTCTCTGTAAAGTAATCCTTCTGTTTTTCAGTTTTAGGAGTGCTAGGGCATAGTAGGTTCCCTACTGCAAAATATTTAAATTTAATAGCTATGGGCTCCTGTTTACTTTTTACTGCAATTAGTAATTCTATATGGCAAAGCCAAATATAGTTAAAATAATGACGTGTATGTATTTCTTTAGGTTTTGGATGGATAAAAAGATTGCTAAATTTAAAACACCACTTCT